CACCGGTATCATCGTTGTCATCTCCACTTAGATCATCATCATCGTTTGACGTTGTCTCATTGCCACCATTCACGGAACCCATACCATCTCCACCTTCTTCTGTAAAACGAATACATTTTTTCTTTCGTCTAAAAATTGCAAGGAGTAAATTGTATTTTGAGTATAGGTGAAATTAGGCGAAGACACTTACTTGCAATGTTTACACCACTGTCCTTGTTGACCATTTCAACCTCCCAGACCATTCACTGAATGATTTATCAATTATTATCATAGAAACAAATTATATAAATCAGCAACACCGTAAAGATAAAGAAAAATTTTGGATCGATGAATTACAATAATTTATCAACAAAAATGGTGATAACAGTACAATCTGATGAATCAACACCCTTCAACCACATTTCAGTAACAACAACGGAACTCGTAGCAATTTCTCTATATTTCACTCCACATCCTTTCTCTTAAAGTCATGCTATTAGGGTTAGGGTGAGTGAGGATGACATTTATAGAGAGCTCGTTAGTGAAAGTTGTCTGTTTTTTTTATTTCAAGTTTCTCTTCTTTTCTGCCCTGTAGTCAAAAGACACATTCTATTTTTCTCTTTCCACACCGTTGTCATATATAGAGAGTGCTGCCGAGTTTTATTATTTTACTTTATACTGTCCCAATACCGAGTCCTTTTCTTTTACGGTCAAAAATTGCATCCTTTTTTAACATATAAGCTCATTTTCGCTTGTCTCTCCGTATAGATACGCTTTTGTGTATATATACCGTCTCATTCATTCATTTCTACAATTTGAACACGTGCCATTTGTATCATAACTTTTTAGTCTTTATCATAACTTCTTAAAGAGAGAGAGAGAGAGAGAAAGAAAGAAGATGATAGAGAGAGATTATTATTCTTTATTGTTATTGTTGTTGCATAAACTTTGTTTTTGTTTTACTATACTATTGTTTTACTAGTAATGTAAAGAAGAAAAAGACAAAGAACAAGCTAACCATATATAACTATGAGACTATTTTAGACCGCACAATATACATAAAGTCGATACAGCACACAAAAAATGACCACGCACTATAAAAGGTACGTACACCTGAATAAATTTATTGCTCAATGAGTGCTGCAATTCGCATTGTTTTCTCACACTTTGCTGCGCTCTTCATGAGTCCGTAAGCTTAGTGATCGACCGTATAGAATTAAGTAAATATTATATTGTGAAATATATCAACTTCCAAGAAAACACCCACAGATTCCAAAATATGATGCGAGAAGAGAGCTAAACTTGAAATTTCACTATTGAGAATTACAGTTACTACATAAACTCATGTTGTAGCATTTTTATGTCACAGACTACATTTACTTCTAACATTTGACAATACTCATCTTTTGATGGTTCATTATTTGAGCTATTATTGTTTGCTCTTTCGTTGAATAATCGTTCAACAGTGTTAAAAAATCAATAGTGAAGCAAAGGGATGACTGTTTTTCAATTATCCCAAATTAGACTATATGCTGGCTGGTCAAAAGTAAAAAATAGTAAAAAACGAGTATTACTTTGTTCAAGAAATGTGTATCTAAAGTAAAGGCACTTTTTGTTCTTACGATGAACAATTAGTGCATAACAAATTTGACGCGGTCAACAAAATCAGTTAAAGTTGGGAAAAAGAAAACTGTCCTTACTAACTTTTTTGTTTGACGACCTCAATGAACATAAATTCTCTTCGTCGCTTTTGTTAAATCCAAGATAGAGCCGAATAGCGTTCACTTTGTTGTGTGTATCAAAAAATCTTAATATAACTCTTAGCTTGAAATTTTTTTCTTCGAAAATTCAGGATCTGTTAGATCTCCACTTTTGTGGAACCCACTTCAAACAGTTTTTCCACCATTTAACAATATACGGCAAAGATCTTTTTTCAAAGCGAGATATTCGATAGTTTTCCACAACTTTTTATCATTGAGTGATGGCTTTTACACTACAAGATTCAGAGCAGTATTCAGCCTGTGACATCATCTAATTGAATGTTAGTAGCAAATGTTTTAACAATTAGATAGATGATTTCATAAATAACTTCAAGTACTAACGGCTGGTGTTCTTCACCAAATTGTATCTTATAAACTGTACAAAAAAATTTACTTTTGAATAAGTCATGAAAATAGCATAGGAAGGCAAATAGTAGTTCCTGAAGAATTTTGACAACAGCAAGGCGCAGATCAGTTCCTGGTATGTCGCTGTCCCTGTAGCGGGTAAGGTTGGGTCGTCTCTTTGGCTGTAACTTACTACTAATCATCAGTTCTATACCTCTGGGTTGGGTAAAGTTGGGTTATCATGTGTGTCTCACTAGTGATCATCAGTTCTATATGTCTGGGTTAGGTTGGATTGTCATGTCTGTAGTTAACATATATCACTAAATCTCTGGGTTGGATGAGGTGAGGGTGAGGGTAGGGTCAGTGAGACATACATGACAACCCAACCCAATCTAGACATATAGAACTGATGATCACTAGTGAGACACTGCAAGATACACATGACAATCCAAGCCAACCCAGGCATTTAGTGATACATGTTGAGTACAGACATGACAACCCAATCCAACCCAGACATGCAGACCTGTTGAATAGTAGGGACACACTACTACACATGACGACTGAACCCAACCTTACCTGACCGGGAGAAGTAGAATTGTTAATCACTAGTCAGACACAGCAAGCATCATAAGCAATCACTGAAGCGCAGTTGACAGTACGTGAGATTTATCAAACACCTAAGGAGTTACTATTTGCCGGCCTCTCGAAAGTAGTCAAAATTTGACTTGATTATTGATGAAGCGATACTAAAGTGAATTATTTCAAGATATTTAGTTTTCAGTCTCGTTCATCAACTTCGACGCAGACAAGCGAAAACATATCATTGCTATTTTGCTTTGATTATACTATTCACGAATGTACTGTTGGGTTATCCAGAAGATAATAGAACAGCAGAGTTTATTCGATGTCTCATAACGAGAAAACTTTGTAAGATGTCGGGTCCAGTAAGGTTTTGCGCAAAAGTATCACTTGGAGTGTCTCTCAGAGATCCGAGCCAGCTCAGGGACGCTAAAAGGTAGAAAACTGGGACGTGTGTGGATTTGTAGAGGAAGATGTGGTGCTTTTCATCTGTAATAGCTTAGATAATTCACCATGTCATTTTCCTTTGATGTAATGGCCTAGGCCTCATTTGTGTAAGATGGCTATACAATGCTGAAAACCGCAATCTATCTCATTTCTGTCAAAAATTATTAAGAAAACAACCAAATACACGATGTTTTGGCGCCGATAATAGTAAAAGGGCTCATATTAGTTCTCTGAAAGACCCAAATACAATGACTTTTAACAGTGTAAAAGGACATCCATAAAGGGTAAAGGATTTCGGACACAGACACCCACGTTCTTGCAAAAACGAAAAAAGAAACACCTAAGCTCAACATTTCCGGAATGGCTTTGCGTGGGCATAGTTTTAAAAAACTTTTTATAGTTCATTTTGAAGCTCGGAAAAGTCTCTGTCTTTCTATGTGTAAGTTCGTGTTAAGAAGTTAGAACTTATGGGAAAAGCGTGGAATAGAGGGTGGATGCTGTTGTTTAGAACGCTAATGAAAAGTTGTACGAGATTTCTCTTTGATGTTTTTCGGAAGAAGCTTTGGAAGTTTGAAGAGGTTCTAAAGTTAAGCGCCAAGCATTTTCGATAATCTTAGACTATTGTGCTAAAATTAATACAATTTTATTTGAAAATATAATAACATTTATGTTGTAGAGTGTAATCAAATAATCTACTGTTTGCTATACAGAATGGAAATGCCTCAATAATTCTTCGAGTTTTCGTACCTCAATTCAATTTGCACAGAAAACAGCTCGAAGAATGATTAAATACAGTGGTATGAGCAGAAATGAGAATCGTTTCTTTGGGCTTCGAATTATTCGAAATACTTCGCCTCTTGACAGTAAAACTCACACTCGTTTTTATAAAAACGAAGCCTCAGTTTCAGGCTTTCAGAATCTGTATTTGGTTTTGTTCAAACGTGCTTTAGTCAAATAAAGTGAGGAATGATCTTTATAACGAAATTATATCAATTTCGCCGATCTGAAAGGACAAGATTGCATTGAGTATAATTCCATCTTGTATGATTTTTATCAGAAGGATTCCTTTCAGATATTATATTCCTTCTCAACCACAACTCATGCAAGGTATCTACTCGTCTTTTCATCGAAGAAAAAATCATAAAAACTCGAATATTTATTTTTGCTGAGTAAAACCAATTTTTTTGTTTTTCATTCATGAATTTCCTTTTTGTTCTACTCCATTCTAGTCAGACAAGGCTAATTTTTGATGGCAGAATTTCAATGTTAACTGCAGTATAAGGCGACCCAGTCTTTATAGTGTAAGTAAATAAATGTCTGTAGTAACTATGTGAGAAGAGAACGGAAAAATATGTTTGACGACGAGACACATATAAAGAACGGGAAGAGAATCGTTTATTCACGTGTCTGTGATACTTCATGGATGGAGGTGTAACGGTTTTTAAGTTAAGTAACTGATCTCCCGTCTCGGAATATACGACTTTAGCCTCGAAGGGCACTTTATTATAACCGCCTTCCACTTAACAGGAACAAGAATTCACGCACACTGTAAAATACTACACGAATTATATACAAGAATGAGAGAGAGCGAAGAGAAAACATGGAAAATAATAGATGTGCAATAAAATAATATTATGCAAGGTGCCGGACGGCAATTCAAAATTTCAGCAGAATTTAGTTCTTTTTTATTTATACATGTTTGGAAAAAGCTCATCGGGTTATATCGAGTAAAACTGAGTTTATGTGTTTCGGAACATTTAGATAACTTTGAATGTCGAATGAAAATGTCGAGTTTGCAAATTGTTAAGAAAATCAAACTCATCTTTTAATGTTGATTTCAAAAATGACATTATTTTTGTCGAAAAGTTGAGTTTTGATAGAGCAAACGGCAAAGGCAAATTTCATTGTTTTTTCACAGCTTTCGAAAAAAATTGAATTCTGAGCAATGAAAGAAAGCTTGCCAAAAAGGACATTTAACTTTTTTCTCGTGAGCATGATGAATATAATCGAGCGAAAATATGTTATATCTTCTAAGTACAGAGACCTGATGTGTTGGCGAGCAGCTCGAGGATATTTTTCGGATTCTACTCATGTCTGATGTACTCATCAACTATTTTAAGTTCTACTAGTGTCAAATCAGATTTCTTATATTCAATTTTGAATAAAGCATCAGTATTTAATGGTTTGAGAACATGAAGAGAAAAGAAAGACAGAACATTTAACTTGTTTTTGAAAAATTAAAGGTTTTTAACCAATTTCAATTCGAATTTCAAATTTGAATATTTTAAATATTTCGCTAAAATACTTTCTTTTAGAAAGCTTAGAACAACATTTTTCTATGTAACTCGGTGAGCTCTCTTCAACCATGCATAAATAAAACAAAAATACTTTGCATTGCCGACACCTTAAATATATTACTAATTAACTATTTATCGAATAGAAAGAGGCAATTAAGGGAAGATGATTCATCCTTTACATGACGTTCTCCTTCTTACAAAATTCTTGTGTCGGAATATTTCAGACAAAATTAATTTCGCATTTTTTTCTTGGATTTTACTATATTTTCGAGAAAAAGTTCTTGACTTTACCATGGCAACATTCGTCGACGATATAATGATATCTGATCTATATACATGCATCATGTTAACGATCAGCAGTTTTTGAAGAAATTCTATTATTCTAACTAGATCGCGATTAAGTCAATATCTATAAGTTACAGATATCGGCTCGGGTACGGCATATAACTCTGCTGCGCCAGTATAATCATGTTCTTCTATGATTCTCAAATGAGGACACGATCGCAGATTTTTGTAATGTCTCATATTAAAGAAAAAAAGTGTGTCGAATATTTGAAGACTTTCGTACACTAAATGTGTTTTTCTCTTTAGGAATTATGACAAAAATACAAATTCTTGCTTTTCAACATATTTTGTTCTATTCTCTCCACTCATGTTTACCACAGTCATTTATTCCCTAATCTTATATGAATGATCACGCAATAAGATTTTGTTTCTTTAAGTTACATTAAATGAAAAGTAGAAAGAGAAGGAAAGAAGCAACTTTACTGGGTATTTTCCGGCTTCAGGTTTGTCTACTACCGATTATAAGGCGATAGAATCCTGCTAGCAGCTGTTACATGAGGATAGTTAATAAACTTAGAAGAATGCTTGAATACATTAGAAGTATCTTGTCATATCTACGAAATACGTTTTGTTATGTATTTCAAATATTGTCGAATTATATGGTTAAATGCCAGAATATCATTCCATTAAGTGTCAATTATCACTTAACAAGAGCTTGTAACTACAAATGTAAGTTTTGTTTTCATATGGCCATTACAAGTGATGTTCTTCCATTAGTACAATCGAAACGTGGAATTCAAATGCTCTATGATGCCGGTAAATGTTCCTCTGATGAGTCTTATTATTCACTAAAACATCTGTCCGTTTTAAGGTATGAAGAAGATCAATTTTAGCGGTGGTGAACCATTTTGTATTCAACGAGGAAGTTTTGTTGGTGACTTAGTCAAATTTTCAAAAGAACTTGGTTTAGCCACAAGCATTGTTTCAAATGGTAGCCTTATAACGGATGCCTGGTTTCAATCATATTCAAAATATCTTGACATATTGGCAATATCGTGTGATAGTTTTGACGATGAATGTAATCGTAATGCCGGACGAACAAACGGAGCTGATAATCGTTCCCAGTTGTATCATATCCGACGTGTGCGAGATTTATGTTATCAATATAATGTCATATTTAAAATAAATTCTGTTATTCATTCGTTGAATTATAACGAAAACATGAGAGAAGCGATTGATGAATTACAACCAGTAAGATGGAAAGTATTTCAATGTTTATTAATTGAAGGTGAGAGTTTTGGTAAAGATGCATTACGTGATGCAGGACCGATGGTAATTACTGATAAACAATTTGAACAATTTTGTGCAACACATCGTCATTTAAAATGTTTTGTTCCTGAGTCTAATTCATTTATGAGAAATTCGTATTTGATCCTTGACGAACGTACGAGATTTTTAGATTGTCGATATGGGCGAAAAGATCCATCACCGTCGATATTAGATGTTGGTGTTGAAGCAGCATTGAATAGAAGTGGATTCGATGAGAAAATGTTTTTTGAACGAGGCGGAAAATATGAATGGACAAAGAATGTAGATGTGAACGACTGGTAAAGAGGGAAGGGTATTCAAAAATGGACCGATAAACAATCAAAACAAACGTTTCTTATATCACCAGAATTAATATTAACAGAATCACAGTCATCTAATAATGAAAAAACCACAGTAACTGTGCGTATGTTACCGACAGAAAATGGTTTAGTTAATGTTTGGTTACGTAATGCTGAAGCTGGCGGTCGGATTGGTAGTCAATTAGCCGGTGTACAAAATACATCCGATCTTTATGAAAAATATTTTAAAGATGATCAAGCAATGGCTATAACATAAGATTTTAAAGATCTATTCTATAGTGGTAAACTTACTGTGGTTTTTTCATTATTAGATGACTGTGGTTCTGTTAATATTAATTCTGGTGATATAAGAAACGTTTGTTTTGATTGTTTATCGGTCCATTTTTGAACACCCTTAGATATTTTTAATACTGATAATAATAAAGCACCTGTACTAATATCAATAGCCATACCAACACTATTTGGTAAGTCAACTGGTTCAGATTCAGTTGATGATTTTAATTTTTTACTAGTAACATTAATCTTACTACCACTACCACCAGGACAAAACATACCGTTAAAACCAACAATTGGACATAGAGCAGGACGAGCACTTTTTAAATCAAATAGGTTGTTTTCACCTACGCCGTTACAAAATGATGACGTTACGAAACATAAACAAAATAATAGTTGAAACATTTTAAAAGCCTGAAAAAAAAGATCTAGAATATAGAAAAAAAATATTTTTGATACAAAGAACAAACTATTTCTGTTATGGACAAGGAACAAGAATTTGTCCTACTCTAACTTTTTTCTCATCAAAAACAGAATTAGAAATTCCTACTGTAAAAGAATTTTGACGTCTCTAAGATTAAAGTAGAGGTCTTAACTGATAAGAAAAAAGTTTGGGGTGACATGAAAAATCGTTTTAGTCTATCGACGATGACCACAGCAGCAGTGACTCACACATTAACCGTTCGAACAGACAGTGACCACAGCAGCAGTGAGTGGATGGCTTCAGTAATTTTTTTTGAGTTCAATAGACATATGATCAAATCATGTCAGTAATCATAATACAAATTAAACCTTGTTTTTCCCTTACTATTTAACAAAAATCAGCATTTCCTTTTTTTTTAAAAAGTGTATTCAGCTAGAAAACAACACTCCACTCGGCATTTATTCTTTTCTTTCTTTTTCTCGATCTATTCATAATAATTACTCATCATTTATCACTATGTTTGTCAGTGGGATTACATAGTAAAACTTTCATGTCTATATAATCTCTGTACGAGTTCAGTTTGATCAAGCGTATAAACTGACGCATATGAGGCACATGTGGCCAGCGCAAGTAAAACTATCGTATAAAAATGTTTCTTCAAATAGTATTTTTAACAATTATCAATGTGGACCAGCAATACACTTTTTTCCGTTCTATCTCATCTACGACGGCCATTGTCACATCGACAATACTCAAAAATTAATCTTTCTCTCTGAATTAAAAGTTCCTTCATTTTGTCGACTTTAATATCCAAGAAACATATCCTCGACTAATCAATTTATCCCATATTTCACAGGTTATTTTTTATTCGCTCAGTTCTGTCATTAGTTCTGCATTGCGTTGGTAAACTGAATTAAACATCATGGATTTGTTCAATAAGTTAATGGGTGTGTATGCTCATAACTTACTTATATACGTATGTTATTAATAATGATTTTTGGTTTACTCAAGAAAGAAAAGAGCAAATGACATGAAAATTTTCATTTTTTCCAACTGGCAGAAGAAGCCACTGCTAGCATGTAGCACCAATGAGGCCTGCATTGTGGCGTGTGTCACCAGACTAGGATTTGAACCCAGAACCATGGCATTCCGTGTCTATGCTCTAACCACTGAGCGACCTGGTCGATATCTCTGTCCGTCACAGCATGCACCTACTACACAATGGGCATCCAGACAGACTTTTGGCAAAAAACTGAAGGTGGTCTTTTTTCCGATTCAAATAATTCGCAACTCAGGAACGTGTTTAGCCTAAAAGAAGGTAACGTCTGGAATTACCACGTTTACCAGTTTTTTCCCTAAAACCTCCTACAGACCACATTGTCAACAAACTGTGTCCAGAACTACGTCTGTCCAGGGTCGTAAATTGCAGGGATGTGGACACCCACCCCCCAAAAATAAAAATTTGCTCTTTCCTCCCAGCGGAAATTAAAATTTGTTTTTCGCTATTTTTGTCGCATAGCGAAAATGTTTTTCTTACACCGCCCAAAAACGTTTTTTACACTCCTCCAAAGTTAACATCCTATTTACAGCCCTGCGTCTGTCAACAGCAAAGCTACTTCTCTCGCATTTTGCATCGATTTTTTAGCGCATTTTGTTAATTCAGTTAATTATTTTTGACTTTTTTACTTCATTAAATGGACTTTTCATTGCTGACAACATGCCTCTTCTACTTATTTTACTTGTAATTCCTACGGATTAGCCCATACGCAAGATCAAATATTGAAAAAATATTTTTAGTGATAAATAATTAATGGACAGGATTAATTTCTTGTATTTTGAAGACGTCACTAACTAATCCTCTCCACGTTTCACGAACATAATCAAAAGGTTTATTATTAGTATAGATCAATTCATCGAATGTTAAGTTATCTTATAACAAAAATTTATCTAGAGGAAGATAAATTGCTACAGTCAGTACACGGCCTGGACAGCTAACTCTACCAGCGTATATAATTCCGTGACGTTTTTGATGATTTTGTTTTATTTGGAGAAATTTTAAAAAAGTCAGAACTCAAAAGTAAATAAACCATTTTGTAGACAATTTAATTCTCTATCGACTGACCTGATTTTGAAACGTTTTAGCGAAAATCTCTTGGTTAGGAAATTCAAAACAATGAGAGCCGCTTTACTAAATTTATAAAATAGATATGCAAAAAGTAGCTCTCAGTGTTTTGAATTTCGTAACCAAGAAATTTTCACTAAAACGTTTCAAAATCAGGTCAGTCGATAGAGAATTAAATTGTCTACA